AGAGAGTGAATTATTCTTTAAATTCTTATTGTATAGTTACTTCAAAAGGATAGAGATCAAGAGAGTAAAAAAAAAAATTTAACAAATAAAAATAGCTCGAGGGTTGAAGAATGGTCACACAAAGATATATCAATGCCTTAATATTGGATGAGTGCAGTGGACGGCCTTCTGAGCTTGATGGCGATGTTCTAAGGACTTTAGTTGCGAATAACTCACGTATTTCGACGGAAGAGGTTGCCCGTGAATTGAACGTCAACAAATCAACTGCGTTTCGTCGTTTAAAAAAGGTTGGGTACACTTTGAAGCTCGATACATGGGTGCCACATCAGTTGAGTGAAAAAAACAGTGGACCGTATGTCAACAGCAATTTCTTTGCTTCGACGGATCAAAAACGAACCTTTTTTGGATCGGCTCGTGACTGGTGATGAAAAATGGATCCTGTACAACAATGTTCAACGCAAAAGAACATGGAAACAGGCACACGAAGGGGCGGAACCGATGTCGAAAGGTGGATTGCATCCGATGAAGGTACTGCTGTGCATTTGGTGGGATATCCGAGGCGTGATCTATTTTGAGCTCTTGCCAGCTGGAGAAACGATCACTGCCAACAAGTATTGTCAGCAATTGGTCGAATTGAAGAAAGCAATTGATGAAAAACGTCCGATTTTGGCCAATCGCAAAGGAGTTCTTTTCCATCATGACAACGCCAGGCCACATGTTGCAAAACCGACCCTGGCCAAACTGAAGGAGATGAATTGGGAAATCATGCCGCATCCCCCATATTCACCCGACATTGCACCTTCTAATTATCATTTGTTTCGATCGCTGCAGAACAATTTGAATGGAAAAAATTTTAAAAATCTGGAAGACGTCAAAAAACACCTTGACACCTTTTCCAACGAGAAACCGCGCGATTTCTTTGAATCAGACATCCGTAAATTGGTTGAACGTTGGGAGTGGATTGACGAACATGATGGCGAAAACGTAGTTGATTAATAAAAGCGCTTTCTTCAAAAAATTTCAATTTTAGTTTGCACTTGAAATCGGGGACGAACTTATGCACTCATCCAATACTTTTTGTTTTTAGTATACTTACATACTTATATAGTTGCAAGATTTTTCTAAATTATTGACTGATTAAATGAACTGAAAAACTGTTTAATCAACCGAGTCCCTTGGCCAACACCTCGGCATCCGCAGCAAGTCAAGTTCGCCTGCGAAGGTGAGAGAGACGGAAGAGTCTCATTCTAGTTAATTTTATATTGTTTTTTAAGTTATTATTACTAACTAAAGAGTATTTTTTTAGACGTGCGATTTTCAAATCAATATTTTTTTCCGAGGTTGGTCTCCCTTTGATGATCAGGCTTACTTCAGCGCAACGTTTGAAAATCGTACAAATTTTATACTAAAATAAAGATTCGGTTAGCGCTTCGTTCTGTGTCGCCTGTTCGGTCGACATAATCACCCAGCAGAGTCGGTAGTTCGAACAACCATGAATTGGTCTCGCACCCAGCTTACTATAGTAGATAATGCGCATCCTAAGGGACGCTGCATAGTGCTGCTGCGAGGTAGAGTCTCGAAGGAGGCCCTAATGAATCCATTTTACTTGAGATTTTGTGGAAGGATCTTAGTTTGAGGCCTTAAAACGTCCAGCTCGTGCAAGAGTTGAAGCTGAGCGATCATCAAGCGCGTTACACCTGCAGTGTATGGAGTCAAAACAAGATGGCCACCGATTCCCAATTTCCCATGAAAATTTAGTTCAGCTATGAAACTAACCTTCGATTGAATGGCTACGTTAATAAGCAAAAAAAAATGTGGCATTTTGACTTAAGAAAATCCTAAAGCATTGTTTAGCTGCCACTACATCCTCCAAGAGACACTGTTTGGTATGCTCTGTGTGCAGAGGCAGTACAATATATTGATTCATATGAAGCCCGCTGTAGGGTAATAGTAAATGACTTTTTCGTGCCTGAATTGGAGTATTTTGATGTGGGTGACTTTTGGTTTGGTTCCAACAGGACCACATTGGTTGCATGGCATGTGCAGCCAACGAAATGATGAATTCATGGAAGTAATCTTTTGGTGAGCGCATTAATTCGCATTGTGGGCTTTTATTGAGTGAGGTATTGTCTATGAGAGACTAACGGAATCTTTCCTAACCTACAAAATCTCATAAGAAACTATCAGTGCCTAACAGTCAAACGTAGTTATATAACTCTCTTTTAGAGCCCAACGAAAATTTCACAAATCCGCAGTTTACCAATTCAGCATTCGTTTTCTGATATCCAAGAGCCAAGAAATTTCCAACCGCAGAGTTCGCCGTGATAGGTGTTCCAATCAAAGCTTTGACGGATAAGTAATTGCCCAATTCTCAAAGTTCATTTAACAGCAACTAAGATGGATTAGCCTTCGCCCACATTAAAACAAAAGTGAACTAAGCACAAAAAGTTTCTAAAAATGTTTTTTTTTGTCGATATTTGCGGTTTGGTTCATCATGAATTCATTCCAACGTGGCTGACCGTCAATAGGGAGTATTTGTTGAGTGTTTTGGGGCGTTTCCGCGAAAACATCCGTCGTAAGCGGCCGGAATTGTGGGCGAGGTGTAGTTGTGAACGATTTAAGACCAAAACCTCGTTCTATACCGCCGGTCAACACCGTTTGCACCGGATTTGACCCTTGCCAATTTTTTTGTATTCAAAACTCAAGCTACCACTTTGAGGAGCCCGTTTCGACTCGATGGAGGTCGTAAACGAAAACTCGCAGAGGGAACCGAGGCCGATCAGCGCTCGTTTCTGACATTGTAGTTAAGAATACTCGCTTTCGTTCTTGTCCCGCCCATCGCACTTCTTGGACGGCGGTGATGTCAGCCTTTATTCTTACGAGGCCATCAACTAGCTGGGCAGCGGTACCTTCCCAACTAAGGGACCGGACGTTCCAGGTGCATGCCCTCAAATCGTGATCCTTAATTCGTTTGCAGGGGTCGTCATCAGAAAGGGGGTATCTCATCCGAGGCGTTGTAAAATTTTTCATTAGAGCTGGTTTCTACGCGGCGGGGGCCAAACCCAGCGCACAACCTCGCATACCAAGAAGCTTGGCCACAGTTTTCGAGAGAAAGGTTTTGCGTTAGATTTATGGCTCCATGCGCGTTGGCAACGGCGAATACCGCAGATGATGGAACGATGAGCTGTTCGAGTTATACGGCGAGATTGATTTAGTTCAGCGAATCAAGGAGCAGCGGCTACGCGGGCTAGGTCATGTGGTCCGGATGAATGCGAATGAAGCTGGAGAGCTTTGAAAGTTTTTGATGCAGTAGCCGCTGGTGGAAGCAGAGGTAGAGGAAGGCCCCCACTCCGTTGCAAAGACCAGGTAGATGAGGACCTGGCTGTATTTGGTATTTCGAATTGGTGCTAAGCAGCAAAAAGAAGAAACGAATGGCGCACTGTTGTAAATCGGCTACAATCGCGTAAGCGGTGTCTACGCCAGTAACGTAAGTAAGTAAGTTGAGGATGGAGCTACTAACTTAACAAAAAAAGTCCTGAAAAATATTCGGCGTGAGCAGTTTAAATGACAATTTCCGGAAACTTTCTGGTCTTAATGTAAGTATATACAGCGGCAACAACAAAAATATGCATGTTCGCTAGATTTCTTCAGCTACTTTTCACAAATCCATTTTCAGGTCCGTCACCAGTGTTGATCGTCTGTCGACACAAATTAGGAGGATTCGTCAGTCTTCAAAGGTGGCCTGTAGCTTAGGTAAAAACAGAGTCAGCTTAATAATTAAAAAAATTGAGATCATCTCAGATTTAATTTAAAAAAAATAGCTACCATCATCTCTCGGTGATGCCATAGAACTCAGTCTACAAGTCCTGGAAACCCATTTAATTTTCACTTAGACATCCTACTTAAGAGCAGTGTTCCATACAGCAAGAAAAATGGATTTGTTCTGATCGTGGGAGCCCAAGAGTCTATCCAGAGGAGTCAAGGTAGCTAACTCTCCGTTCGCGCATGGCGGAGGCATTTCAATTTCGGCTTTTATTTAATTTCAGCGTAACATACTAGGATGAATCATGCTGAAGTGTTCTAGCTAGTCTCTTGGACATGTTGTGCGACATGTTGGTGGCGCGAGAAAACCAACTCTGTTGCTGACTTGAAAGTTCTTAGCTCCATAGCGCAAGTTCACAGAATAATATTCCCTGCCTACATTACTGCTGCATGTCAAAATGTTCCTGGATACACTCTGGTCATCACTGGGATTATAGCTTTCATCTCATTACGGTTGTCGGTAAATAGTCTATTTTCAGTTTTTTTTTCAATTTAGTACCGAGTGGAAAATTGTATTCTTAACAAAGTGCATGGAAATCTTAAGAAAAACTGTCGTACTGCGTTAAAGAACTTCATATATTCTTCTGATATATGCGAAAAGCTCTTTAAAGTACTCAGCTGCAGCGTAAAATAGACTGATACTCGATTCTCTGCCGGAGTTCTAGACAGAGTGGCACTGAGAATATGCAGTTCTTAGCGGGTGGAGAAGGTTTTTTATTTTTTTTTGAGTCAACCGAAAGTGCTGTGGGCACACCAAGATCGGTTCAAATTGAACAAGTGTTTCTGGAAAAAGAAGTCTGATGAGGAAAACGTGATAGTTTGTGAAATTGTATTTGTAACTTCTAACGTCCAAACTGTTGTTGAAAATTTTTTCCCCATCCAAAAAATATATAGGACCTAGGACAGTTCAACAAATCTAAGCTTGAAAGTTTTTCAGTTGATAATTTCACTCTTGGACTTGTGCGGTGGTCGAAAAAAATATATACATATACATATATCATTTAAGATAATAATGCATGTATTCTATGCATTATAAACTCAACTTGCATGCCATGGCGTATGAGTAACTTTCCTTTAATATTTGTACTATTGTATTTTATTGCCATTTTAAGTGATTTAAATTTATTTTCTTTACATACTTACATACATTTTTCAATCAATCACCTGCATATGCTCACCTTCTACTTTGATTCAATTGAATATTCCGCTCATCCCGCCATGTGGAAATGTGATGCCGCAATGTGTTTCTCACTTCGGAATTGAGAAAACAATAGAATAATGACACTGAAAATCCCTATGTTGAAGAAAGAGAGAAATGAAGTAAATTAAAGCGAGCAAGTAAGAAAACGAATATCAATAATAGCTAAAGGACACATGAGGAATACAAAAAGAAAATATCGTCTGCATTCACAAGGAAACCAGTGGAAAAATAATCCTTTCATGTGTTTTTAACTTCGTTTCATCCCATCTTTCATAGATTTTGTACTCAACAAAAGTCTATTCTTTACTTGTTTCTCTTTTTCCTACTGTTTTCCTCATCTTTATTCCACTTATTCTGCTTACTTGTGTGCTGAGCAGCAACGCTCGTACCACTGCGAACATATGACTCATCACCCCGCTTTCACTGGGACCCGCCAAAACCACCAGATAGGTGATGCCGAAGAGTGGTATGAGCACCAACAAAGCTTTGGCAGCTTTGCGATATTGACGCGTTTCCACTGTGTTGGCAGAGCGTAGTTTTGTTATCAATACCTGTAAATAGATACAAGCAAGGTGGTGAGTGATTGTTGAATTCGATACTGAGAAATTCAGATTTAATGAGTTGAATGGTGAACGATTATTTAAATGTGAGAAAATGCGAAAGAAATTCGATATACCTGAGAAGTTAAATCATATAAACTAAATACACATTAAATGATTTCTCCTCTTATTGCAGGATAATAAATATATTAACTTATTTTTTTAATTTTTATTTTTGTCTTTTATTTTGGCTTATTGATTTTATTTTGTTTTATTTTATTTAATTATATTTTGATTTATTTTATTTTTTTTTATTTTTATTTTATTTTATTTTATTTTATTTTATTTTATTTTACTTATTTTATTTTACTTATTTTATTTTATTTTATTTTATTTTATTTTATTTTATTTTATTTTATTTTATTTTATTTTATTTTATTTTATTTTATGGTATTTTATTTCACTTTATTTAATTTTTTTATATATTATTATATTTTTTAAATTAGATTTATTATCTTTTATTTAATCTGTTAATATTTGATTCAATTTTGTTTTATTTTGTGGTATTTTAATTAATTATTTTTAGTTTGTTTTATTTTATTAAATTTTTTTTATTTTCTTAAGTTCTTTATTTTTTATTTTATATTAATTTATTTTTTTATATATATATTTTTTATTTTAATTTGGATTTCAATATATTTTAATGAAGGATCATGTTAATGTGTGCAGTCGAAATTCAGCCTATAAAAAATTTGCTGCACACTTTTCAAATGTATTTTTATTCTTTCTCACTTCTTAATGCTCGCATGTACCTACTTTCACTTTTTTCAAAAAACCTATCTTGTTTGTAGAGCTTACTTCATATATTTTATGTTTACATGCATAAATACATAAGTATGTATTATTTTTATGTGCAATTGTCTCTACATCAATATGCATGTGCTTTCAAATTGTTTTTGTTTTCCTTCAAAAACATGATAGCTATTCTAATTCATTTTCTTTTTCAAATATCCTTGAACGTACAAAGTTTGCATTAAGTGTGGACGAGGGATAGCTCTGGATTTTTATTTTTAACTAGACACAAACTTTCATTCATTTTTACATATAAAAGCAAATGCATGAGGATGAGGGAGCGTTAAGCTTCAGCTTGCTTTCTTCTTAAAAAGAAATAAAAAAAATCAAGTTTAATTATTTGTTTTATTTTATTCAGGCAGCTAACAAATCAAAAATTTTATTTTAAGTAAATAAATAAATTAAATAGATATTTTAATCAGTTGTTTTAGCAAAATGGTTTGATTGAAACTTTTCATTCTAATAAGCCTTAAATATAAAAAACCACTAACTTTTACGTATCACCCTGGTACTTACATATCTACATTTTGACACCCCTACAAACATATACGACTTTGTTATTATACGCCCGAAGAGAGTGCACTTAAAATGAAATGACTATAACTTTTTATTCGTGCAATGAACTGTCATTGTTTACTTCATAGCTAGAAATATCATAGGAAGAAGAAGAAGCCCAACAACAAAAACCCAAGAAACAGTTGTAACAACAATGTAAGAATGTAATTTTAAAATAATATTAACCTATCTATTTCTGATCCTTTCATATGCATCTATTTACATACATACGCACACACTCATACTTGAGTGTTTGTATATTTACATACAGATGCTTTTTTGAGTGTGTAAATAGCACTTTTTAACTACAACACTCACCCACATAATCCTCAGTAAAAATATCAAATTGATAATCAACACAGCACACACGGGCCCTTGAAATATCCAATCTACATGAGATTCACGCATCCATGGGCAGCTAATGTCGAACTGTAAAGCAAGGAGCGTAAGTAAAGTGCAAGTGGGGTAAAGAAATGTATATCTATATATTCAATTCGGAGTTTTTTTTTTCTTAACAGCAAAAAGTGAGACCGAAAGGGTATCTTACCTTCTCCACGTCATATGATGTTGTGAGCCCTTTGGCGATTACCCAAATGACAACAAAAGCTGCTGGTCCACCTTTATTTGGGGGAAGAAGTGTAGGAAATTAAAAGAATATATAATTTTATAATTAAAATGAATTGCAATTCGCATATATTTATTTGGAACAATTTGTTTAATATTTTTTCTTTGCAATGAATATTTTCTAAATGCGATTACTTGCAATAATGGCGTAGGAAAATATTTATGTATGTATGTATGTGCCATAAAAGAAATACTTATTTATTTAATTGGAATTAATTACCATTCTTTTTTAAGCGGAAAAAAAATTATTTTAAGCTTTAAGAATTATAAAACAAATAAACATAATATTTAACTGTTATATTTATTTTTGTCAAATAATTAAGAAATATAAATTTTAATAATAATTAAATTATTTTTTAACCTAAATTGTGAAACTTTCGCAAATTTAATTAAAAGAAGTTAATTATTTATAAATATAAATATATGGTATAAAAATAAAATAATAGAGAAATAAGTGAAACAAATATATAATTTTAAAATATTGAATAAATAAATTTAAATTATATATATATATAATTATATTGCAAAAAGGTTTAAAATTTTTATATAAAATTTTTTTAATTTATGTAACTACCTTTTTTTTATCTATTTCTTTACCTTTTATTACAAGAGAGATATTTTTATAATTGAGAATTTTCAGTTAAATATAAAAACTGTATTATAAATGCTTTTAAATATTTTCCTTATGATTTGTTTGAACAAAAAAAAACAAGATTTTTCTACTTTGAATTTTATTAAATAAAATCGATATTTATTTTATCTAAACAAAAAATCGTATTCATATAAGAAAAAGATTTTTTTTTACCTATTTTTGCAACGGGAAAAACGAGAATTTCACACTTTAAATTTTGTTTTAAATAAAATATAAAAGAATTAAATATATATAAAAAAGATTTTTTATACTCAAATAATAACAACGTGTTCTTTTATTATAAGCATTTTTCATATAAAGAAATGGTATTTAAAGAATATTTTAACTTTATGTATATTAAATAAACTAAAAATAATTAATAAATATAAAGAAAATATTTATTTAATAAAATATATATATTTATTAAGAAAAAGTATTTTATTTATTTGTATAAAATTTTGTTTAATAGATGCATAATTTACACTTACAAAAACAATTGTTTGCTTTAATTTTTGTATAATAAATTTTAATTAAAAAAATATCTCTATATAGACATGTTCGTAATAGTTTATTTTACTTTTTAATTTACAATAACAATTCTTTAACATAAAAGTTGAAACTAATTTCAAATTAAACTATTTATTCTTAATTAAAACATAGCAAATTAATAAATATAAATAGATTTTCTTCTTTTTTTAATATATACATTTTTAATTTGAGACTTTTACATTTTTTATAAAAAAAATAATATTTAACTTATAAAAATTTTTAAAAATAAGCATTATAACAAAAAAAATATTTTTATTATTTTTGCATACCAAAATCGATTTTTCGGTAATAAAATTTGAACGAAAATTACGAGAAATTTAGTTTTGTTTAAAAATAATAATAATAATAATAATAATGATAATAATAATAATAAAAATAATAATAATAATAAAAATAATAATAATAATATTAATAATAATAATAATAATAATAATAATAATAATTATAATAATAATAATAATAAGAAAAAAAATTTATAAAACAAATACAAATTTCATTAGTATTTTTATATAATAATTTTATAATATTAAAATTTAACCTCTTTTTTAGTGATAGATAACATTAGTTTAACAAAAATAAGCATAATGTTCCAAAATTTATACAGCGCAATAAAATCTAATTATTTTAAAAGAATATCAATTTATTAATTTTTTGTAACCTTCTCTTATTTTCAATACAAATGTTTTAAACACAAAACTCAAATTACTCAGCAGAAAATAATTTTTTCAATCAAAATTTGTGTCTACATAATTTTTAATACAAAAGTTAAAACTTGTTCAGTTTAAATTTATTTTAAATAACATGTAAATTTTTAATAAAAAAAGAGGGATAATTAAAATTCAAATTAGAAAATAAATTGTTCATTTTATTGTTTAAAATTATTTATAATATGATTTCAAAATCGAAAAAAATTTGTTACAGGAAAAATAATAATAATTTATTGCAAAAAACTAGCCTTTTATTTTTGTATACCAATAGTAAATTTACTGTAAAAAATTGAAAAAATAAATAGAAGTAAAAGTTTTTCTTAATGTAAGAAAAATAATTAAAACATTTATTTTTATAGAAAATAATTTTTATTATATGCACAAAACTATTAAAAAAGCACTTTAGCTTTAAAGTTCAAAGTTGAACTTTTTTGATTTAAAATTAATAAATATAATACAGGGAAACATAATTTTAATGAAACAAATTAAATTAAATATATATTTCTTTATAGAAAAGTATTTTAATTATTTTTAATTGATTTAATTAAATTATTTGAATTTTTCCTAATAAAATTTAAATTTCTAGTAATTTATATAAAAATTATTGAAATTATTGAATATACAAATTATTAAAAAAGAAAAAAATTATTTAAAAAAATAAAAATTAAAAAAATATATGGTCTCAAAAAGTTCCACAAAAAATCCCAAAACAATTCAACAGAATAATGATCTGAAAAAGCAATATTTTTTTAATTAATTTTATATAACTTCCGGTTGATGGAGTATTAATAATTTAATTTTTCTCTATAAAAAACAATAAAAATAATAAATCTAAATATATAAGTATTTTTTAAAAATAATAAAAATAGTTTTCTATAATTATTTGCTTAATTATTTTCATGTAATTATTTTTGAATGTGTAACTCCAACACAATTTCACCTTCCCTAAAGAAAATCAAATCTTAACTATGCCGTTGGTTCTAAGCAACACTGATTTTAATTACATTTAATTGCGCGTAAAACCGTTATCACCTTTTCCTTTTGGCGCACTCTCATTGCATAATATCAGATTTATTTGAATTAAATCTTTCTGATTCAACGATTCGCCCACAAACTAATTAATGTTCTATAACTGTACAGCACATACATTCATACACAGGTATATATTTGTGTGTGTGTGTGTGTGTATATGAATGTGTAAGTTGAAATTAAAACACACACGATTTCTGCCTTTCATCGAGCTCTTTTTCCTGGTAATTTAAGCAACATTTGCGAAAAAGAAAAAGAATTTAACTCAACAAATATACAAACGTTTGCGAACTTATGTATGTAAGAGACATATGTATATATTTGTATATACGAGTATTTAAATATAAATATGTATATTTGATTTCTTTTAATGTCGATGCAGCGGAATACATATTCACAATGCCATAAAACCTATATGCATATATATGTATATGTATGTAATATATTATATATGCATATGCACACATATTAAAGCTTCCGATACAAGAAATATGTGTATGTATGTACATATGTACAATAGGTATGTTTGATACTCACCCCAACCGATGATTGCATAAATATTAAATCGTATGTTATCACCAGAGAATGTCTTCACCACCAGCATATACAAATAGAGACCTACAACGAGGAAGTGGAGTCAAAGGGGAAATGAGTAAAAGGAAATAAAAAAGAATTGGTGTAAGGTAAATCATCATCGGTATGTTTCTTTTTAGTTGATAAGTCCATTATTGTAATTCCCAACAAAGAAAAAAAATGAATTAAATTTGATTCACTTCACTGATTTATTGCATTACCTGGAAGGCAGAAAGTAATGCATGCAAATTGTTTAAGATTTTCGAATTGTTTGAGGAGAAAGCAGTGGGGAATGCATTTTTCATAAATGCTGTATAGAAAGGAGATTCAATGATATAGATAAGTGTTCTGGATTTAAACCGTCACCCCTTCCTTTCTCCTCCTTTGAACTTATTACTTGAATTTTGATGAAAGAGATATTACTTTCACTTTCATCGTAATGAATTCTAAAGTTGTATAATTCCTGTAGCCTTATAACTTTTTTCCCTTTAATAAATTCAGAAACAAAGTGTCTATAATGGGTGTTTCTTTAACGAAATAAAACGTATAAATTTAATGTAAGCTTAATTATGTTTTTGAAAATGGTTTCAAGTGGTCGCCCTAACTTGAAAATATTCCAGCGAGAGACCCAATTGTCTATGAACCTTCGCAGTCATTAAGGTCGTCTATCAACAATAATTCGCCGAATTTTACCTTCAAGGAGTCTATCGGTTCTGGCTACGTAGATAAGCGACTTCATTTAGCCCCAGGAAATTGTACAGCCGCGTTAAGTCGAACTAGCCTCGTAACAAGACCAATTCGGCATATAACGCGCTCTCCAAAAGTTTTTTTTAATAAATGAATGGAACTAAAGTTCCTCCACATCAACTCACTCCAAGAACTGTAGCACTACAGTCGGCCTCATTTACGAAGAAATATGAACCAGTGATTCCTACTGTCCACAGAGCATGTCAAATAGTGACCTTTTGAGGACCTTATAACCTCTGAACTATAGCTGGTGGAATATCATAAGACCAAATGCGGTATTTTTGTTAATCAGTATCGCGCGTCTTCTAGAACCAGTTAGATTTTGTAGTCCTGCAGTCTATGGTTCTTCCACAAAATCTTCCATGAAATGAATGGGCATAGCTTCAGTGGCTATTATATTTATTTGATAAAGCTTCTGTGAACTCTTGCTAACCCCGATCTGTATGAGGTAATTTTTGAGCACTTTTTGGTTTATCAAAAGAAGTTCATGGGTGCCGAATCGCATGACCTCGGTGGCCAATTGACAGCGCCAAAACGAGAGTTTGCGCGTTCGGGAAATTTCTCATGCAATAAAGCCATATTCATTCGTGTTACGTGGCATGTGGCACTATCTTGTTGATACCACACATGGTCCTAGTTTTGTCGGTAATCGCTTCATTACCCGGTCTGGAGAAAGCAGAACTCACGGCGCAATGTTGAGACCATTAATGGCAATATAATCAGCGAATGCCAGCAGCTATAAACTCTTATGGAAAACTGTTCCTTCTCTAATGATCTATCTCAGTAAATTAAAACTGTCGTACGACAAGGAATCACCCTGTCTGAAACCTCGTTTGGTATCGAACGGTACGGATTCCGACGGAGCTTTTAGCGTTGCTTAACGTCAGTTTACATACCCCTATCCAATCAGTTTGATGACGTCGAGCTTCAGTATTTCACACAATATGATCAACAAGACCTTATTGGCGATATTAAGGAGGCTTATCCCACGGTAATTGGCGCAGACTGTGGGGTCCCCTTTTTTATGGATTGGACAGAGGCCACTTAAACTCCAATTGTCGGGCATGCTTTCGACCGACAATATTCTGCAATGTAGCTGATGCATGCACCTTGACAGCTCTTCACCGTCATGTTTTAATACTTCTGCCGGTAGGCCGTTAGCTCCAGACGCTTTATTCTTTTTTAACGCATCTTGGCCTCTTAATTTCTCGGGATGTAATGCACCCCGTACGTTTGGTGGTCGATAGTAATGTTGCGAGTTGGGCAGCCTATTTTCATTCCACAGCGATACGGTAATCCTCATTCTTCTAGCTGTGTTCGGTACCTTTTCGGAAACTAATAGATTTGTTTGTAATAGCTGTCTCTTCTTCGATCTGGAGACAGCAAAGTAGCTTGATGCATTTTTTTGTGCTGAACTCAAGTACTACAGACAACCATATTTCGGGCCTCGGTGAAGTCGATCAGCCTCAACCCATTTGGGGATGTTTCGTTGTGAAGGCTGAATTTTCCAACCGTCGTACCAAAGATTCCTTCTTTGCTCTCCCTGGCGTAGAAGTCGCCTAGCACAATTTAGACGTCGTGAGATGGGCAACGCTCATAAAAGTCATCTTTGCCCAATCATCCATCTCTTCCGTCGGGGCGTGGGCGCAAATCAAGGATATGTTGCATTGATACGGATTGTGACGAGACGCTCATCAGCTGGGGTGAATGCCAGTACTCGACGACGGAGGATCTCTTCCACCACAAAACCGGCACTAAATTTATATGGCTGCTGCAGTCGATGTAACAAGAACCTACTCACTCACGTCCTGGTTCCGTCCACCGCTCTTCTTGGGGGGCGGTGAAGTCAGCCTTTATTCTTAGGAGGACATCAACCAGCTAGGCAGCGGCACCTCTCCAATTAAGGGACCGGACATTCCATCTGCATGCCCTCAAATCGTGATCCTTAATTCATTTGCGGGGGTCGCCATCAAACGCCATCAAAAGCTCGACTACGCATGTTGTCTAAATGAACATATGTATGTAACTTTCTTTTGGAAATATTTGTTTAATTTAATTTATTTGTTCTCTTCTTAATAAATTTTGGTTTTGGTTGTATTTGTAAGCTTTCATATCCAACTGGATTAATCGTGTTTGCGGAAATAATCATTTGTTTGCCATAGCTCAAGGTACATACGTATGTATGTATGTATGTATCGATTAGTTATCCACATTAATACGTGCATAATTCAATAAACGTAAATATGTTTGTATATGTATATATATATATATATATATCTGTATGTATATACGGGCTTGCAATATTGATTATTTGTGTGATCTTTTTGTTGTTTATTCATTCAATCATTAAATTAATTAATCTCAGATGATTTGACTGCTCATACCGATGAAACTATATACTTGTATGTACATATAAATATATATATATATATATATGAAAATGTTAGTGAGCTTTCGAAGCAAATGACAAGTAAGTTGTTTCATTTAATGACCGGAGTTTGTATAAATGAAAGATGAAATTAGTAAATCAAATTGCTGCCTTCTGAATTAAGGAATTTTGTTTGTTGGCTCAGATTTTGCTGACTCTGCCTTTAAGATAAAAATTTAAGAAATAAATAAAAAATAAATATTGGGTGTATACATTAATTCGTGCGGGTTTTTTTCAAAAATTAAGATTTTAATTTGAAAAAATTGTTTTATTAAACATTTATTGTTCAAAGCATTGCCCACCCGACGCTACGATGTTTACCCAACTTTCTGAGAGTTTGTGGATCCAATCCCAAAAAGAACTTCTCCGGCTTGGAGGTAAAGAAAGAATCGAGCCAATTTCTGATACCCTGTTCTGCAGTGAAGTGTACTCCGGTGAGGGAATTCTGCATTGATCTGAGAAAGTGGTAATCGGAAGGTGCTATGTCTGGGCTATAAGGCGGGTGAGGTAGAACTTCCCACCCACAGTTTTCCAAATAGTTTTTAACTGGCCTTGCAACATGTGGTCTAGGGTGGTCATAATAAAAAATTATTGATTCGTGTCTGGTCGCATCTTCTGGTCATTCTTCCGTGATGGCTTTTTTTCAAACGAATCAATGGTTTTCGGTAGGGGTCCACATTGATCGTCTAACCCGATTTCAATAGCTCATAATAGAGCACACCCTTGTGATCCCACCAAATACATAGCATAACCTTGCCACCATAATATTCGGCTTTGCCGTGGATGTCGAGAGTTGGCCGCGCTTCACATACGATCTCTTGGCGTTAATTCGTAAGGCACCCAATTTCCAAACTTCTGAATGAATCCTAATAATTTTAATCATCTGGAAACGGTTGCTTGATCAACTCCTAATACTTTTGCAAGTTCTTCTTGCGTCTGGCTTGCATCTACTTGGAGCCTCGTTTTCGAGCCAAGTTTTGTTCAGCGATAGCTGAATGTGTCTCAATAGATATGTAAACAAGCAAAATTAACGCATTTGGGACGAAGTGCAAGTGAAGAGATTGAAAAGCTGTCATCTCATCCAGCGGAATCACCAGTCTATATTTCTTCATAAATGATTCCGAAGAGAATGTAATCGTCAAAGGCGACCGTTATCGCGCCAACTATTTGATGCCTGAAATTGAAGCTCGTGATCTCGGCGACATTTGGATTAAACAAGACGGCGCCACTTCCCATATATCGCATTAGTCTATGGATTTGATGAGGGAGCACTTCGGTGAGCAGATAATGGGTCACAGTAAACTGCAGCCCTCAATCCTTCGTTCATTCCGAATCATCTTCGAAGTTATGAACAGCTCTGCCAACACATCTCCGGCCTTTGCTCCTCTATCATAGCTAGCGACAGCTCCCCGAAAGTCAGGTGTGGGTTTACGTGGTCCATTCGTGTAATAAGATGTAGCGCCCTTGAGCACCAAAAGCGCCAAAAATAAGCTTACATTTTAGATTTAAAACGATTATAGAAGAATTTTCAAGCATATAGCAACAACATAACTCGAGGCAGGGATTACTCTGAGCTGTTTTCTGGAGATTTGTTTCCCGCAAGCAAATTTTAAATTTCAAAAAAATTCTCGCTTAAAACGCTTTCGGAAACTCGCTTTCAGTAGACTTTTCAAACTCACCTTCCACAAGCATCCAGAAGAAATTAGTTAGGGTGAAGAAATGAAAGAGCGTCACAAGCACCACGCAGCCGCCCAAGCCTGTGCGTATGGAAATCTGTTGGAAGAAAAGTGTAACAGATTTGTTATAAAAAGTACAAAAATATATAAGAAAAGTCAGCCAAGACGTCAAAAAACTGGGTGACTCTTATAATGTATGTATGTATATATGTATATAAATGCAAATACATATATGATTTTAGAAAGTTTTTTTTGCTCTTTTTATTTTGGAGATTAGAAAATCTTACAAATACACAGTGCGTATAGACATCCACATACACACAAATACATATATACAAACATACAATTTATGGGCTGATTATACTTACTTGTACGGACAAAGTGAGTATCCACAGCAACGCCGACATTATATATGTAAAGAATAAATTGGCGTGAATTGAATTGCGCAAACAGCGTAATTCCCTGCATCCGTTTTCCATTTCGTTTGAGTTGGTTTTCGATTGAACAAAAGGTTGGGCACGAGGCGCGGCAGAGCGAAGGGTGCGGTGCGTTGGTGCGTTGGTGCGTTGGTGCGTTGATGTGTTGGTGGATTGTGGCAATTGGAAGGAAATAAAAGACATCAATAGCGGTGGCAGAGATAGTAAAATATTATAATAATAGCACCAAAAGACCAGCAGAGACATGAGCAGTAGCAGTGGCGGCGACAGCAGCAGCAGCAGCAAGGACATCGTGGTTGGCGTTGGCAATGGCACCAGCGTTGATATGGCGCGTGAGCAGAAATGAAAAGAAAAGAAAAAAAAACGCCATTATAAGTGGAATATGTGATGCGTGTTTGCGCATGTGAATGTGCGACCATGCAAAGGAGCATTCTGAAAATCTGATATTCCATTTACCAAAAAAAAAAGAAAACAAACTAAATGAGTAAAGTGAAGAAGAAAAATCAAATGAGCGTTAAATGCAACAGAGGTTACTAAGGGTAATAGTGTGTAAATGCGCTCTCAAGGACCTTAGTAAGTTTGCGCTCCTCTGAAAATACCTTACATTCATACATACTAGTGGGCAAAATCTCTGCTTAATGCTTCTAAATTGTAATATTTAACATTTAACAATTACAATAATTATAATAATAACATTTTTTCATATTATTTTATTTATTTAGAGGAGAACTAATTATAAATAATTAATCTACTGAAAATAATACAATTAATGGTACATATACCGCAGTAAGATCCAATATTATGGGCATCGTGTCTAACTTTTATGCTCGAACATTCCTCAGTGTAGAGTTTTTTGTTTAAATAACGGCAATGAGACGTTATTCCAACTTTTATTTGAATTTTTTTAATTAAATAATTTTTGAAAATACTTTATTTTGGTTAGTAAAGTCTTTTCAGCTGTGTGATGTGTGTAGTAGAACTATTTTTTTAAATTTGAAAATTTTAAAAAAAAAAAAAACAATTTAAAAATTTTGGCTGAAAGCCAAATTTAATTATTTATATAAATATTTTAAACACTTTTGCCTTTTAAGCGGGGTAAGGTTGGCTACTTAAGAAATAGTTTTGAGAGCGCATAACCCAAATCGACTAGACATACATATATTACATTATCTACCCATCAGTTTAATATTCATCAACTCTTGAGGAGAAAATAAAATTTTTCTATTCTACTAGATGAAAACATAAAGTTTTCTTTAAGAAATTAAAAAGATAATTGAATATGTGTTACATAAACGACTATATTTTGCTTTCGCATGTAATAAGTAAACAAATTCTTCATAGAAAACCCATCAACCGTTCGGAGGTGGCTTAGTATTAACTGTAGGTCCCTCAATCAGATGAAAAAACTTAAAGACTCATTGCATGAGGGGATCCACTGAAACTCTCAACAGCAGCTCATTAAATGAAAACTAAATAACTTGTCTTACCATTAAACACAAAAACAAGAAAAACAAATACGATTTTTTATAGCTTAGATATCAGAATGCCCATTTTACTACGCTTCATTTAATTCAATTGTTTTTCTTTTACTTTTTCTATATTTAGATAAGAATTGTTTTATTACACTATTTTATTTTGTATTATTCCATTCATTTCTCAATTTTTGAAACTCATTTTGTGTTGCTTCAATTCATATTATCTTATTCTTTTGTTTATCGTACATATTTTACCATTTCTGTTTTTCTTATAATATGTTGTTTTATATTTTACCCCTTTTTCATAAAATAAAGAGATGTTTTATGTTATTTTATTTTTTTACATTTTTTTTTGTTTGAATTAAATTAAAGTTATATTATTTACAATATTTGAATTTATGTGATTTTATTTTGTTTTTTTCTTTATCCTTTTATTATACTTTATTTTATTTTATTTTATTTTATTTTATTTTATTTTATTTTATTTTATTTTATTTTATTTTATTTTATTTTATTTTATTTTGTTTTATTTTATTTTATTTTATTTTATTTTATTTTTTTTAATTTTATTTTATTTTATTTTATTTAATTTTATTTCATTTTACTTTAATTTAGTATACATTATTTTGTTTTATTTTATTTTTTTATATTATTTTAGTTGATTTTATTTTTAGTTTTAAATTTTTTACCACAAAATACTCACTTAAAGTACGCGAACACAATAATCGCCAACGTCAATGAAACTAAGCTGATTGTGTAACCGATGTAATAAATTATCGTTGGCAACTCGATGATTGGTTCGAATTCAGGTACAGTCGAGGGTGCGGGCAGGTGCATACACAAATCATAATTTGTGTACTTTTCCCATGTTCCATTGGGAAAACAATAACGCGTCGCGTTTTCTGAAAACAGAATCGAGAAGGAGCAAAGACAAATTTATATTATATATTTTTTGCTTTAAAACTATATTACATGAAAATTAAAAAAAAAAATTAAGTAATAATTTTCCAGATAGTCCTACGAAAATACGGAATACATTCTGACGCATTTCTGGATTCTAAATCGAAGATTCTGAATTGCCGCCACATCAAATGTTTAAGTTTCCATTACATCCATCTGTGTCCACATTTCCACATTTAAAATTAATTTTTTTTTTTTCATTTCACATTTAATTTATTAAGAATCCCATTGGCATTTGCACAGCCCGCCTGCGACAAACAACCATCCAAATGAGTGACGCTTAATTTTGTTTATTAGAAGAGGAATCCATAGAACCACAAGCAGAGGAGCTTTAAACAATAGGCGGCACAGTTTGGATGGCTGCCATTTATCCTCATGTGCCTTACGTCATTCAAAGCGCCTGAGTCCCGGCAGCTTTTGTGCGTTTTCTTCGCAGCAGTGAAAAATGCTGGTACCATCAAGCCGATGCAGGAACAACAAATGATCTGACGAGTGGTGCACAACCGGACAGACAGACAGGCAAGTAGACAAATAAACATATGCCGAGCCATACGTCAGCAGCTCCAGTAAATTATTATGGAAGAATGTGTACACAGTACAGATGCTTTGACATTAATTTGTGACGCAGAGCCAACCGCAAGTAGTCGTCGCCAGAAGTGGATGTATAAATGATTCCTTTTTTTAGACAGAAACAAACATACTCGTATATGCACTCAGCTGTTAGTACATGCACTTCGTTTGTTTCCCTGGAGCATGCATATGAGCTAATGTTGTTCCTGCGCTGTGTCGGCTCTGCAGTCGCTACGAAAGTTGGTAAATGTTCTCTATCAAAATGTCTGCGGAACCGAAGTCGGAGTGTAAACCTTTCAAATTCAATCCGAATCACCGAAGGAATCCACATACTATGTGAGGATCGTATTTTAAGCCAAAGAGATATAAGAGATTAACATCCCCTGGCTTCAAAATATAGCGAGTCCTTGCGATATAAAGGAGCTTAAATTTCTGGTGGAAAAGAAACTTTATCGTCGTGCTCAGCCACTCAGCTCGAGAGATGATTTTTTCGCCGCAACCCTCTTCAAAGGGAAGTTTTTCGACGTAGCGCTGACTTGCGATTTGCTTTCGAAGAGAACCAAGAAGGCACCTATGAGGACTGCAGCCGCCACGATGTCCAAATTATGTTTGGGGACTTTATCGGCCAGGCAGGCTTAGAAGGTATTTTCGACGAAACATTCCCTAATGGGCTAATCGAATTTCGCCATACCCAAAATATGGTTGTCTGCCTCTAACAAGAACTTTTACAGACTCAAACTCTTAGACACCTATTAACTGAGCTACAGTCATTGAGTTGAGAAGGTATCGTGGCAGTTGTATCAGAACCAATGGTTGAGTCACAGAGGTCGCCGCTTCAGTGAAAGATCTGAACTCTCGGAGCCTAGGTCAAGATAACCAAACTGTGTCATGGAGAGCTCGAAAAAAGCTAAAATTCCCCGAGGTATATATGCTGACCTGATACGGAGCTATATACTAAGGTATGAAGTCAATATGATATACTCCAAGTGTTTCGAATCAGAGTACTGGAGAGAAACATTACCTGTTTGATAAGAGACAACCTCTACACCGAGTATAATGGAAGTGAGCTTACCAGAACTGAGTCGATCAAATCCAAAGGAAGTTCTGAATACTCCGAAACATTCTTTACATCACTGAAATGGGCAACCAACTTTCCTTTGTTCATGTTCATTCGTAAGTCCCGCACATAAGTGGGAATACTATACGGGTTCTGTGTACTGTGTGTGCGTATAGTTACACGTATGTATATACATATATATATATGCAATTTCACATTCACCACTAGTGCAAATACTTACGCGAGCTGTCATACTGTATGCCCTGAAACTCATGCAGACACGGCAGTGCCGCCCAAGTGCCACGCGGTGTACGCGGCCAACAAAGGATTGAATCGAAGTGGGTAAGACAGTAGGCGCTTTCATTGCCGTAGGTCGTTGTATCAATGTGCTGCTGCAGCAGGCACTGCAGTTCGGTGCCCTCATTAATTGCGTCGAGGTTGTCGTAGGACTCTACTGGTGTCTCGTCACCATCCAACGGCGCAACAGCCGTCGCCACACTCTCTGCCCGCCATGCAACATCAACAGTTGCCGTACCCTCGCGCGAGGTTGACATGTTCAGCGGATTTAATGCAGGCGGGTGTGTGGACGACTATCCAACGGCATCAAGTCGGCAATTATTTCAGTTGTTTGTATGCTGTTGCTACTGTTGTTGTTGCTTCTGTTGCTGCTGCTGCTGCTGGGGGCGCGATTTTTGCTATTTTTATTGCTGCTGATGCTAACAACTGCTTCTACCACTGCAGGGTTGCTTTGGGCGCTTTTAGTTTTCTCTGGTACTTTTGCTATTGTTGTTCTTACTATTGTTGTTGTTGTTATTAATGTTGTGTTTTTTGTTGATGTAGTTATTCGTCGTTCTTTCGCTGTTGATTGAGTTGTTGTTGTTGCTGTTGCTGCGGTTGTTCATCGTCATTGTAGATAAATAAGTTCCTTATGTCCTTACGTGTTGTCGGCGCAGATCTGGAAGCGAAAAGTGTAGTTGTAGTTATTTAAAGAAGGAAATGTTCAACATTTTTCAAAAATTGTACTTTTAATATGCGCGTTCAGGTAATGAACAAACAAACATTTTGTCCAGTTATACTTTAATGGAGGGCGGCACTTTGACTACTAAGAACGGGAGCACGAAGATGAGCAGAATAAAAATAAAAAAAATTACCAATCACTGATGACAGAATGAGACTGAATATTTGTCGGAATGATTCCAAAGCTCACATTTAACGGTATTGCATTCAGCATTGCTAAGTGGCTGCTGGAGATGAGCTGCAGTTAGATGTTCTGACCGCTAACGCTTTTCAAATCTGGAACTCCCAGATGAGCACTATTTCAAATATTTACTACTACCAGAAGTTGATTACCCGAAGATAAAGACCACGAAAAATTATTCATAAAAAATTGTACGATTTCCCGCGGAGAAAAAAGTTTCGTTGCGGTAAGTTGAGGAATTGCCTTGTGGAGAGGCTTACATTATCTCTAACAGAGAAAAGTTAAACATCAACTCGACCTACTCTCTTGTAGCGACAAAGATACGCACCCGCCTCTGTGCAGCAAAGAAGGCCACCCGTGAGAATCACAAATAATGTTCAACCTCAAAAAGCTGCAATCGCAACAGACAGCCAAACGGTTGTCTAATGGATAGGGGCGCAAGCTCTCTCTGAGAAAACTCATCAGCAACTCGGTATAGAAGAACTGCTGGACGTCATTTTAAGGTCCCCACGTACAGTTGCGAAACTTTTAGTTTTCGAAAAGGTCCCGAAAACAGGTAGTAGGATGAGGATTACCTTATCGCAGTGGAGAGAAAATAACTCGCAACATTGCTATCGGCCAACACACGTACGGGTTAATTATCGTATATACCGAGAATTGCAAAAAAGAAAAAGCCAGACGCATTCGCAGACAAAAACGATGAGCCCAAGCTGCATAACTAAGAGTTTGAGAAACTGTCCGGCATGGCTTATGCTAGGAAACTCTAAGTAAATATACGAAGGGATTACTTACAACCAGAATGGTTATCTGGTGACTGATGCACAGAATACAGAGAAGTTATGGGGGAACACTTCTCCAGCGCGCTGAAATGGGTTGAAAGTGTAAAGCCAGGAGATGGTCAAACCGATTCACCAATATACGGCGTTGTATGAAGATGTTTGAATAGAACTCGCTCATTTGAAAAACAATAAAGTAACGATTGGCTGCAGGCGAATTACTGGCATTATTGGCCTCAACAACCATGCCGTTAGTTAGTTCTGCTTTCTTCAAACTGGATAAGAAAACGAAGGATATGGGTCCGGTAGTGAAGGAGAGCAAGACGTAATATCTCTTGTCATCTATAAAACAGTCAGCGCATACGCAATTTGGCTCCCATATCAGTGTTGACACTCATAACTTCGAGGTCGTAGATAATTTCGTCTATCTTGGAACCAGTATTAACACCAACAAAACTTTCACTCTTACCAAGATGTGCTACTTCGCACTGAGCAGGTAATTGAAAAGTAAAACCCACTCTGGGCGAACGAAGGTCAAACTCTACAACTCGACAGTCCGCACCATAGGAAGCATGGACGATGACAACATCTGATGAGTCGGCATTCTTAAAGAGAGCTTTTGCCTCAGATGTTTGACCCTCTCCGAGCTGGTAATGACGAAAACCGACAAAGGATGAATTCTACGAGATATACGGGGACAGCAACATAGTACAGCGAATCAAGAGACAGCGGCTACGCTGGATAGGCATCTGGTCCGTATGTATAAGAATACTTCAAGTTTGAAAGTTTTTGCTGTTTAATCTGGTGGAGATGGATGTAGATGGAAATTGGCGCCAAAAAGCGAAAAGAAGGAATGAATGGCAGACTGTTCTTAACTGGGCAATGATTGCGTAAGCAGAAATAAAATGTCAGACCTAACAGAGCAAGCTCTTTCTGGAAGCATTTGAAATATTTAAGAAATTTTCAGTTCTAACCCCCGTGAGGAAAATTTCATAATGTTCTTTTTAGACGAGGCTTTCGAGAATCTATGGTCTGCGGCTACGGAAACTTGTACACATAATTCATGAATGTACTTAACCGGGTCTTAGTTTAGAATCCTGACCAGACCAACATCCTTACAGAGGAAAAATATCTAATTGCGGTTGTTACTCGGCAGGTAAGACATCTTCCTTCGCGAGGGTACATCTGAGATGAAATTAAAAGCCTCTCATCTTAATTCATCAAACAGTTCTAAGGCGGCTTGAAAATTCGGGTCTCTCCTTTTGTTGGATAAACATTGAAGATCTCCTCCGGAAATTGCTTCAGCAGCTACAAAGCGTCCATTAAAAGTATAAATCGTTCGAATTGTTCGCAAAAGCTTAGTTGGGACAAACGAAAGAGCAGAATGAACCTTCTCAATAGCTAAGGTGCGATCTCTTGCGGTCAGGTCCTCAACTTTCCTCTTTAAATCAACAAATTGCTGAAGAACTCTCCGTTGCTATTTTCGTGATGATATTGATTCAAGGATCATTATTCACACTTTCTAATGTGGAGTAGCCATTTTTCGGATAGGTATCATTCACAATATCGCCTACAGCTTAAGGATAAAAACTCCTTTGATGAAAACCTTCTAGCAATTTTTAGCTCAAGAATTTAAAATGCCTACTGCCGCATCTGTAAGCTCTCTCGGACCACTAATTTTCGAGAGAACTTCAAAATTCGTAGTCTGATAGATGCGGTGCCCAACAGTTTTTCAATTCGGTGTGAAGACTGTGGTTCTTCCTCACGTATCGTACGCTGGCCGGAACTCCAACATCGACTCAGACCAAAACTAGATGACAGCTCGCATTGTGTGTGATGAAAAAGCATGCTCAGCTCGTGAAGGTGCTGACGAAATTGATAAAAGTCTCTCTACCCCGTTATTTGCAGGGATGAATAAGGAAGACAGACGCCATCGACCAAGAGAGAGGTCAAAAGACATGAGTACGAAGAGAGAGTTATTTAAAAAAGAAGTAAACGAAAATTCTAGGAATATACTTTCACTTTTAGTTGTCTTCCCCAACTATATTCACGTTTGTGCTAAGAAAACTCCCTTAGATCGAAGTCCAGACCCACAAACAATAGGTACATCCACTTAAAATGGATAAAGAGTTATAAAGTCGCTGCTTCTCCTTAAGGCGCAAAAGCTTACTATGGCAGCGACATCAGGAGCCAGTTAAACTGGCCTTTTGATAGCGAAGAATATCGATAACTGACTAGCCAGTTTGACGTAATCAAAGAAGCGACTGTTTATGAAACCACGTGTCTCAGAAAAACAGAAGGTGTATGTTTTACCTCCTCCGTATTGGGAAGCTGTGGAGCTTAGCTCAGTCATTCATCATTTGTCTCAGTATACTGTTCGACCGAGCTCCTAATCCAATTTTCCTAACAAGAGGAGGGACCTACAGTTTCGTTTAATTTGTCTCCGAACGGTTGAAGGATTTTTATGATGAGCTTTTTATAATGAGCTTTTTATGACAAATACGCTGAAGCGATTTTCCGCCGAGCTTCTCCTCCAATTTGTGGTTGATGTTTTCCAACATATGGAGGGACCAACTGTTCATATGATGTGTGCATAAGTTCGTGCCCGATTTCAAGAGCAAACTAAAATTGAAAATTTTCGAAGAAAGCACTTTTATTAATCAATTATGTATTCGCCATCATGTTCGGCAATCCACTCCCAACGTTCAACCAATTTACGGATGCCTGATTCATAGAAATCGCACGGTTTCTCGTTGAAAAAGGTGTCAAGGTGGTTTTTGACGTCTTCCACATTTTTAAATTTTTTTCCATTCAAATTGTTCTGCAGCGATCGAAACAAATGATAATCAGAAGGTGCAATGTCGGGTGAATATGGGGGATGCGGCATGATTTCCCAATTCATCTCCTTCAGTTTGGCCAGGGTCGGTTTTGCAACATGTGGCCTGGCGTTGTCATGATGGAAAAGAACTCCTTTGCGATTGGCCAAAATCGGACGTTTTTCATCAATTGCTTTCTTCAATTCGACCAATTGCTGACAATACTTGTTGGCAGTGATCGTTTCTCCAGCTGGCAAGAGCTCAAAATAGATCACGCCTCGGATATCCCACCAAATGCACAGCAGTACCTTCATCGGATGCAATCCACCTTTCGACATCGGTTCCGCCCCTTCGTGTGCCTGTTTCCATGTTCTTTTGCGTTGAACATTGTTGTACAGGATCCATTTTTCATCACCAGTCACGAGCCGATCCAAAAAAGGTTCGTTTTTGATCCGTCGAAGCAAAGAAATTGCTGTTGACATACGGTCCACTTTGTTTTTTTCACTCAACTGATGTGGCACCCATGTATCGAGCTTCAAAGTGTACCCAACCTTTTTTAAACGACGAAACGCAGTTGATTTGTTGACGTTCAATTCACTGGCAACCTCTTCCGTCGAAATACGTGAGTTATTCGCAACTAAAGTCCTTAGAACATCGTCATCAAGCTCAGAAGGCCGTCCACTGCGAGGTTGATCTTCGAGGTTAAAATCTCCAGAACGAAATTTCGCGAACCATTTCTTTACTGTGCGGAGTGCTGGAGCACGGTCCAAATAAACTTCGCGAATATCTTTAGTTGCAGCGCCTACTGTTTTTCCTTTGCGGAATTCGTATAACATAATATGACGCATATGATCTTTTTCGTTGTCCATCTTCCATGCGTCTTTTCACTAAGCAACTCAAATCAAAATGAAGTTATTTTATGCTTGATTTACAGTTCGGACTGTCACCTTTCCAACGATATATAATATGTATATATTTCTTTCACGAGCGCCACTCTCAAACGATTCGAACGGCATCCAGCGGAATCGGGCACGAACTTATGCACTCATCCAATACTAATCCGCCTCCGAACGGCTGCTGGTTTCTTATGAGGAGCCTTATTTCATGTCAGAAATATGTACACTCGGAGTGGTTGACATTCTCTGCCGAGGGGCGACCGGAGTTT